GGGGGGGGGGGGGGGGGGGTCGTGTCTCAGCCAGTTGTAGGAACTCAGTTACTAAAGTTACAACTCAGTTACAACTCACCCTGTTGTAGGAACTCAGTTACTAAAATGTAGACAACTTCTAAAATATAGGATTTTATTTGTGCTAGAAATTACAGAAAATGCTACTTTTTTTTTTAAAAAAAAAAAAGGTGGATTGTCCCATTTTACAGCATCAGTCTGCGGAGAAGTAGCAGACGACACAAGACAGTGCAACAGATTGTACCAGAGGAGAAACCTGCATGGACAGCTTGTTATGTGAATGGTACAGAAAATCCAGCTGGGAACAGTGGCCAGTTCCTGGCAGGGGGGTGACAGGGCAGAAGCCGGTAGCTGTTCACACAAGGTCAGGGCGTGCAGGCCTGCATCTCCCCACAGCAAGAGCCCTGGGGTCAGGGGGGAATCCCCAGTGACACCCCCAGAGCCATGAGCCCCTGCCCAGCTCGCCCCATCCAGCGGAGCTCAGCCCCCTGGGCTGGGGGACACCCACCCCTTCCCGAGCACAGCATAGACCCAGCGTCACTGCCAGGGTACAGAACACACTATGGGGTGCAGGGAAAGACCATCCCGGAATTGCACAAGGGTTGTTACAGGATGTCCTGGGGAGGAACCACATGTGGGGAAACACAGGCATCGATGTGGCTTGGGACAACAAATGTGGGGAAATAGAGGGATAAGAAGTGGCCTGTTGTGTGTGAACAGGTGGCTGGTGGCCAAGGACAGATGCTGGCCTGTCCTGCCCCCGCGGGGTGCTGTCCCTTCAGTGTGGTGCCAGCATTGCGAGGGAGGTCTGCGCTGGCCTGGGGCTGCTACCAACAAGGAGGCAAAATGGTCTGGGAGCCCAGGCACTGTCTGTCTGTCAGGTGTGGGGCCTGCAGCTTCTGGGGGCTCGTATGTCCTGGTGCCAGGAACTGGGGACACTGGGACCCAGGGGCTGGTAATAGGCAATGTCCAAGCCCAGTTGCTGAAAGGACCCACACTGCAGGTGTGTCTGTCTCTGTGTAGGTCTGTCTGCCAGATCTGCCTGCCCCCTCAAGGTTGGAACGGTTACAAACAGAAACTGACTCAGACCACATGGGACATGTTATCAGTCTCTGAGTCTTCCGGTACAAATGTAGCAAAACGTCTTCAACCCCCATATCCACAACCTGCAGGCCCCAAGGTTTGTTCAGAGCTCAGGCCGCGATGTTGGGCCAGGGATATCAGTCCTGCCAGGAGCACATTTCCTCTGAGAAACTGCTCACTTGTAAATCACCCCATAGCCATTGCAGTGGGCAAAGAGGGAGACACTGACAGCTGTTTTCCCAGCTATATTTTATTTATCAAGGTGCCACTGAAGTTGCAAAATCCTTAATGGAAAGGGAGTACAGTCCAGTGGGGGTCCCTGTCCCTGAGCTGCGAGAGCTCTGGAGAAAAGACAGGCAGACCCACTGGTGAAGAACCTCCCTCCCTGGTCAAAGAACAGTGCAGAAGATGCTCCCATGGTTGTGGCAGCCCCCATCCACCCTGGTCGTTATGTTGGAGACCCTCTGAGCACCGGCCACGGCGTGGGGCTCCAGGGGGCGTCCCCTGATATGAGGCCGTGCCGGGGGGTTGGTCAGCATGCACTCCATGTCAAACCTGGGGAGAGGAGAGACAGCCCACGCATGGCCCTGAGCAGGGCAAAACGGCCCATCCAGCCTGAGAAACGCTCCCTCAGGGTTCACCCTTCAAGGAGGGAAGGGGCAGGGCAGCTCGCTGTGTGACGTCTGTTCCAAAACCCAAGCAGGACAGGAAGGGTTAGAGAATTGAGACAGAACATCCTGCTTTCCTGCAAAAGCCACTTTCTATGATTTCTCAGCCAACACCTCTAAGTGACTGCAAGTTCTGGAGGATGGGGCTAAGGGCACTGGAGGAGGCGTTGAGGGTAGTCTTGGCTTCCATGCTCTGGGAGTCTAGAGAACCAGGTGAGAGCACCACAGATCCCAACTGCCCTGTCCTCTCCCACACCCTGGACCCAGATTTGTGACCTAGAGAGAAGAGTCAAGTCAAGTTTCTAGCTAATAAGAAGAACCCACTGCATACCCAGCCATGGTACAGGGCTCCAGCTTTTCCTCCTCAGGCACCTGCTGCAGAGTCCTGGTCTACAGGATGTGTTTTGGACAAGGCCGATAATGGTGAGGGTCTGGGTGCCATCTGGTGGCTAAGGAAGGCTTTGCTGTACCCATCAGGGGTCTGCAGGTACAGCGGTATCTCTGAAGACCACCAGAAGACACATTCCCTCTCTACAGGCACGAAGACCAGGGTGGCTAAATCACTCCCGGGACAAACAAGTGCTCCAAGATCCACTTTCCCCTTTCCATTCATGTTCTGGTGGAAAAAGCCTGAAGCTGGAGTCTGGTGCCTGAAGCCACCCTCCTCCTTGCCAGCGCAGAAGTCCAGTGCAAGCTGGGGGCAGCTCTGGCCTCTCCTCTTGCCTCTGACTCTCAGGGCCCTGGGTGACAAACACCCCGGGGCTGCCAGGACAGCAGCGTGGCACCCAGAAGGAGCTGGCCCGCTCACAGCGTAGATGTCCCCACGCTCAGAGGCATCATGAAGACCCAACTGGCCTGTCAAGGAACAATCCAAGCTCCTTGGTTGGCTTTAGAGGGACACCATGAGGAACCTGCCGGCTCTGCAGCCCCCATCTGCAGCAGTCCACCCTGCGCAGGGGGCTGGTGCCACAGCCACAGGCAGCTCCAGAGGAGCCACAGAGCACTGTTGACATCACACAGGAGCGTGATGGTGGCTCCAGGATCACTGCTGCACCCCGTGGTGCCAGGGGTCTCACCTTTTCTTGAGGGTGAGAAGCACATTGTTTTGGATGATGCAGTCCTCTGCATTTGCTGGTGGCCGCAAAATGGATTTCTTGGATCTCCCTTGAAAAATTATGTTTTCCTGCACCAGGCCCTTGGCTTCATCAAAGAGAACAATCCCATAGTCCCGAAAGGACTGGATCCTGTTCTTGATCACCTGCAAAATAGGTTTAAATGGGATGGCCCAAGCAGAAGGACACTGTTCGTACAGCTCCTTGATCAACACAGCACCACACCCCAGAGCTCTTCCGCAGGCTCGGCAGCATTCCCCGGCAGTTTGGGATTGTACCACGGGCTCAGACAGACACGCTGTAGCCACGCACACACACGAGCTCCCCCAAGGCTTTCCACGCGCTGCTGGTGGCCCCATCTGGCAGCTCAGCTGCTCTTGGTGCTCAATGCTACAAGCTCCCCCGCCGCTGGTACCCACCCCCTGGTGAAACACGCGCACGGATGCTGCTGAATGCAAACCTGCAGCTGCTCCTTGCCCTACAGGTTTTGAGCAGCTGTACTTACAGGCTGCCACTTCTCTGTATATGAAAAGACAGCACCTGGGAGTCCCCAGGAGAGATAAGTCCACAGGTCTCACTGTGCCATCACCTGGAAAATCAGTGAGGTCCTTCCTGCTCCTTGGACCTGCAGATGGTTTTACCCAGTGCTTCCCCCCCTCAGCACCACACACCATCTCGCCTGCCCTTGGGCACCTCCTGGGCTCTGCCAGCAGGCAGACAAGAAACGGCAGCACCAGGATATCGCCAGGACTTCAGCAGGGCCCTGTGCCCCTGCTGCGTTCCCCCGTGAGCCCTGCAGCGAGGACTCTGCCTGTGCGCTCTCGGAGACTGGCCAGCTGGGACCGCAGAAAACGCAGCAGGTTTTAGCTTCTGGGCCAGACAACGATGTTTTCCCATGGGCATGGTTTTCAGAAGGAGTCTGCAGCCTCTGCAGGACTTGTGCAGAGCATTAGTCCTGGCAGAGCTTTCTGTACACTCATTTTAGTGGTCCTTCACAGAGTTAAATTGCATTTATCTATCATTTTGATGTCCGATGGCTTCACCTCAACAAAGAACAAAACAGAGGCAACCTTGAGCCAGGTACCAACCTTGGGAACTGGCCAGATGCTGGAACACTGCATCTAGTTTCCAAAAAATCTAGTTCGGGCACCAGCTACCTCAGTCCTTCAGCAGAGCTCAGGCAGATCTCCAGCAGAGGCCTGCAGGATTGCCCCCGTGACTGTGCCACTCAGTTAAATACAGGGAACAAGCCTGGGAGAGGACAGACTCTGCTGAATCTCACTGCACCAAAATGCACAGGGTGCCCTTAGCTGCTCTGAGGGAAGAGAGGCCTCTCCTAAAGCCACCTGAGTCCACAGGTGGGAACTGACAGCTGAACTGTCCTTCACCAAGGCTTAAACATCAGGCAGATGTGACAAGCCTCCTGTGGACCACTCCCAAAGAGGATACAGCCTTGAGATAGAACTTCCAAAATTTTCTCTTTTCTTTGCCACTGAGCAATGGCATAAGCCCACATGAGTGCTCCGCTCACACTCCCATCACGGTGGCACGGATGGTCCGGGGCAGCATGGCCAGCTCCGCTGGGACACGTGCTTTCCCGCTGCAAGTCAGCAGTAAAAGGCATGGACTTGGGCATGCTGGGGCCAGGGAAGGCCTCACTTCCCCACTCTGCACCCTACAGAGCACTTCTGAACCTCTCTTGAGTGACACACACCCACTAGGGATCAAAACGTCACATTCTCCTGAGCAGTGTGCTCTTGTCTTGTACTGCTGGCCAGATTAAAAACAAATGCTTATTTAATTCCCACCTGAATCTTCCCTCAAACGGTTTCTGCCGACCTTCCTCCAGCCTGTTCCAAATGACAGCCCACAAAAGCCCTGGAGTTAGGGAGTGCTGGTGGAAGGGAGCTCTGGAGTAGGGACTGTCTGCAGGAGTGGATCAGGGCAGGCCTGGCTCTGTCCTGCCAAGGCCTGGAAACCCCCGAAGATGGAGACCCCGCGCCGCTCTGTGGCCTGGCCCAGGGCTGTGCCATCCTCCAAGGCAAGAAGGGTCCTCCCAGGGTGCAGGAACCACTGCAGCTTGTGCCCTTGGCCCTCGCTGGCACTGCTGAGGGGGGTCTGACTCCGAGTGCCCTTTGGCAGCTGCAGGCTGCCCTCAGATCCTCCCTGGCCTCCTCTCTGCCAGACTTACCAAGCCCAGCTCCCTCTACCTCATTTCTTCACTTGTGTCCCAGCACTTGCCCATCCTGGTGGCTCTGCAACAGACCCTCTCCCTCTCCTCCACCTGCCTCTTGACTTTGACATTTCCAACTGAACACAACATTTCAGATGCAGCGTCTCAGTGGCACAGGAGGTGGGTCACAACTTCCCTCACTCAGCTGAACACATTTCTAAGGTGGCCTGGAAATCACAACCCCCACTGACCGACCCAAGGGTGCAATCCCGGCCGGCAGCTCCTGCTGCCCCAGCACAGCCCCTCCTGACTGATGGGGTCAGCAAGCCCAGAGAGGGCTCTGCCTCACCCATACCCAGCTGCAGGGACTCACGGGTCGGTGCCCCCTCAGCACCCTGCAGGACAGACCTTCATGTCGGCTGCCTGCAGCAGCTGAAGGCCACACCGGTGGTTGCTGATGATGTCGTTCTCCGCGATGACGCCCTCGCCCTTGGAGATGATGCCGTGGCTGCCGTTCTCATAGATGCCGTTGCCACGCAGCTCCACCTGGCACTCAGCCTCCACCAGCACGCCTCCACGGCTGTTGCAGGAGATGCTGTTGTTGGTAATGCGTGTCAGCTGGCTGCTCTGCAGCACAGCCACCCCGCTGTCGTGGTTGGTGTGAATTATGTTGGCAAAGATGTTGAGTGGTTCGTTGCTCTTGACGTGCAATCCAGCAGCTGCTGGACAAAAAGAAGAGATATTGGTTAAGAGTTTGCAGCTTCAGTCATGAAGACCACAAATGTATTTCTGTTTCTAAAAGCTACCCAGCTTCTCCTGCAACGAGATTTCAGCTGGGACCTTAGGGACAAAAATCCACCTGCACTCAGGTCTTGGCCCACCATCTCTCCAGGGTGCTTCCTCCAAGGCCCTGGCAGGGCCCCATGCTGGTGGGTGAGGACAGCACAGCGTTCTGCAGGGCAGCCTCTCTCCCGGCACCCGGGGAGAGCCCCAGCCCCGAGCTCACCTCCATTGTGGCTGATATTGTTCAACTCCACCAGCGCCACGCTGACCGAGTGCCAGGCAGCGGGGTACTCCTCCTCGTCGATGCTGTAGCTCTCCCAGCTGGCACCCTCCCTCTCCTCCTGGAAGTTCTCACTGCCCCTCTGCCCCTGCCCGTGGGGCTGGTCACCGTTGTCGTCCTTGCGGCAGAACACGGCCACCCCGTAGATGCTGTTATGGCTGATCTGGTTGTTGCTGACGTGCGGAAGGCTGGAGGACGTCATCCACACACCGCAGCCCCTGTTGCCTGCAGTGAGGGACGGCACAGCCCCCCGCTCAGCTTGGAGACACCCGGCCTTGCCCCGCAGCAGCCGGTATCCCAGTGCGGTGCCAGCAGGCCAGAGGCAGAGCTCCTCTGGGAGAACAAGTGAAGGCAAACTCCACGTGCCAGGGGCTCCTTTGGCCTGGCGTGGCCCCGCTGGGCCAATGTGAATCCATGAGCTCATTTCCCACCTCCACCCTCTCCCGGCACCATCCGCGCTCTAAGCCCAGCTCATGGAACCAGGAGGCAAAAGCCCCTGGCCCACAGCACAGCCCTGACCACCAGCCGCCGCAGACTGGCAGCGCTGGGAGTTGGGAGCTCAGCGGCCACGGTCCCTCCTCCCAGAGCGGGGGTCTCTGTGGCTGGGTATCAAGGAGCTCCAGGAGCTCCCAGCTTGGTTTTCCTGGGGCTGGTGTATTCTCTGGTGTCTACTGCAGTGGCTGGGCCCTACGACAACGCTCCTCCTGCCCGGCCAACCCTGCTCAGAGACGGCTGTGAACGCCCTCTCTGTGCGCGTCACCCTCGCTGCCAGGGGCTGGCACTGGCCACCAACACTACGGGACAACGCAGCCTCCAGCGTGACCAGCAGGACAGATGGACAGACAGACACTAACAAAGCCATGCATCTGTCTGCCCCAAACAGGGCCAGAAAGGACCACAGCCCCTCCAGGGATCCGGCCATCGCACCTGCAGTGGTGGGCTCTCTGCAGATGCTTTAAAACTCCCCAGAAAAGCTACTTGCAGTTTGTAAGAAAATCACCAGGGGAGTTCACCCCCCATCAGACATCAGCCCGGTTGTTCGATTCCAGATCCTGCCGGATGCACCCAGCCCTGCTTCAGTGGGGTGCAGCAGTGCACCGCAAATCCCCCATGCTGAGGGAACCCCACAGCCTCCCCTGACGACCCGTCCTGCTGCAGGACCGTGGCAAGAGGCTGGGGGGAGGGGGAAGCTCCTGTCCTTGGGGGGACAAAGTGGGGGTCTCCTCAAGGGAAGGGACCCCTCCAGAGCCAGGGCCCAGCAGCAATGGCAGAACAATGCTGCAGAAGTTGAGGTGGGCTGGGCCGGGGGCCATCCCAGCCAGGCAAGCGAGCACCAACCACATCCCCTCTGAGCACCCACCACATCCCCCCTGAGCACCCACCACATCCCCCCTGATCACCCACCACATCCCCCTGAGCACCCACCACATCCCCCTGAGCACCCACTAGGGCCCCCCCTGAGCACCCACCCCTGCGCACCAGGGGTCGAGGACACCCTGGGAATCCCAGGTAATGTCGGAGAGGGGCAATGGTGACAATTGCTCTCCCCCACACTTGCTTCTGTACCGTAAATTGCGTTTCCCTCGATGAAGCCCATGCCGTGCTCGCCCACCACCACGCCATCCGAGTAGCCGCAGGAGATGAGGTTGTTCCTGAGGATGGGGTCCCCGCCGTGGCGGATGTCTGCCCCTCCCCACTGGTTCTCGCAGATGATGTTCCCTGGGGCCACGCACGGTAGCACGGGATGACCGCCCGGCCTCCTGCCCGCAGGGAGCACGGAGACCGGGGACCTGAGACCTGGCCCCACCGAACCGCTCCCACTGCCTGCCGCACAGCCCGGGCCCCTGCAGCTCCCCCGTGCCCCGGCAATGCTCTCCCACGTGGGACACTGGTCCCTAGCAGGAACCCCCACCTCCCCATCCTCCAAGGTGTCAGGCAGAGTGGGCACCAGAAGTGCCTCGACTGTAGGAAAAGGTCATTGACAGCTTTAGCTTATAAACCGGACGGCACAGGAGAGAAAAAAATGGCAGATTGTTCTGGAGCACAGTTCCACATCCCAGCTGGGCCAGAGACAAAGGGAACAATGATCTGGAGGACACACTGAGGAAAGACATGATCCTGCCACTAGAAAATGCAAACCAGGGGATTACTGCACGCGAAGTCACCCAAAATCCAGAAGGTGTTAAATTTAGCAACCAAAGACAGAAACAAACCAGGGTAACAGTGTCATTTCCATCCCCATACCTGTGATTTGGCCTCTCCCATTTTCATTCACTGCTATTCCAGCAGCCAGTCCCTGGAAAATATGGTTCCCACTAAAGTAGGAGAAGAAAAGAAAGTTACCAGCAGCGTTGCCTGCTCACAGTTTGCAGCGATGCCAGTGCAGTGGTTCTTGCGGAGGCACTGGTCTCCCAGTCAGGTACCGGTGACAGCCCATCACTCTCTGCCAGCAGCTGGAACTGGGCACAGGGCTGCCCCACAACACGCAGGGCGAGGGGAGCGAGTGGGGCTGGGACAGGCAAAGCAGAGTGGAAGTGGACAGCCAGAATGCTTCCAAGGAGGTGAGAGCACAGAAAGGGGCACAGTCACACATTGGTGAGAGCACGGGAAGAGCGGGAGGCGCTTGTGACAACACAAACAGCCCCCGGGGTCAGGGCCGCTCTCCTCTTAGGGAGCAGCAGCCGCAGAAAATGCACGGGGGGACAGGGAGAACCAAGGGCTGCTTCCTGCCCCCGCGGCACCTGCACCCACAGCTATCCCTGTCCCCAAGATCCAAGTTCCTTCTCATCAGCATCAAACTCACTCCTCTGCAAAACACCCTGCACACTCAGCCCTCACCGGGGAGGAGGCTGGCCCCACCACCTCCCCACCCCCGGGCAGCATGGAGCGGGGGCCCTGGGCTCCAGAGCTGTGTCCCTGCGGAAAAGCAGCAGCCAGAGCCCCTGTCCTGGCTTCGGCTGGGATAGACTATTCTTCTTAGCAGCTGAAACAGCGCTGCGTTTTGGATTCATCATGGGACTTAGCATGAGAAGGATGCTGGTAACACACTGATGGTGTCAGGTGTGGCTGAGAAATCCAGGACTTTCCAGCTCCCTGTGTCCTGCCCGTGTGCGGGTGCACTCGAAGCTGGGGGGCCACAGCCAGAGCAGCGGGCCTGGATTGGCTGAGGGAATGTTCCAGATCACACAATGTCACCATCAGTGTGTAGAGGAGGGTCAGACAAGAATGGGGGTTTCTCTCTTGCTTCTGGGGTTGCAGTTGCTGGATCTTTGTCTTTTGGGTTTGCTGGCTGTGTGTCAGCTGGCAGGTGGTGACCAGATGCATTGTGCATTACCCATTTGTACTCTCTATTATGGTTTTTGGTTTATTTCATCACAATTACTAATCGGTTTTTATCTCAACCTACAATTCTCCCTTCACCCCCCAGTTCTTTCCTCATCCCCAGTCGGGGGAGGGTGTGTGAGCAGGCAAAGTGTTGGGCTGATGGCCAGGTTCAAACCACAACACTCTCCTCGGTGGATGCTACAGAGGAGTCTGTGAGAGGTTTTACCCCAGGGAAGAGGCTTTATCAGCCTGGGGACCACTGCTCCAGAGGAGCCCCAAAGCCAGCAGGCAGACAGCGATGGCGGTTGATGTTGGAAAACATTAAATGCGGTGACGGTGTCAGAGGCAGCGCCGTGCTGGGAATGATGGGGCTGGAGAGCACATGCAGACCCTGCTGCACCTGAGTATACATCACCCGCTGTCCCCCAGGGCCCCACCTACACCCTGTCAGGAGGAACAAAGCCACCATCAGCTCCTTCTGCACAACATCACCCCCAATCTCCGGCTTGTTGCTGAGGTTCAGAGCCAGCGACCAATTGGGTTGTTGACCTCAAATTAAAAACACCAACGCAGTGCCATGCCTGGCCTGGATCTGCCCCAGCATCCACCCAGCAGCACTCACGGGGGGGCAGCTCCGCTCCCCCTGGCCTGCAAAGGGAGCGGAGGAGCTTCAGCAGCAAGCCAGGGTGGGAAAGCAGTGCCTGCAACGGGCAATCGCCAGCACTGTCTGGGGTGGAGGGGTGGGCACAGCGCTTCACGCTGCCATCCTGCTCCTAGGGACAGGAGCAGGCAGAGCAGGGACCACCCCCCTCGCCAGGCAGCCGGTGCCTCTGCTGTCCCGGCCGCCCCGGCACGGCCGTGCTCCCCTCGCAGCTGCCTGCCTGGACTGGCGAAAGGGAAGACCCATGGCCCTGCCAGAGCACGGTGGGCTGTTACTGGTGCCCAGGGAAGGGGCCGCAGGGCTTGGTGTGACACACGCCTGTACTAGAAATCCATGTTTGCACCATCAGCTGCGAGGGTAAGGAGGAAGCAAAGCCATGAAACTACCCCCCAGGAACAGAAAGCGGGGGGGTCTCGGCTGCCCAGGCCCCACGGCTGCGGGGAGGGCCTGCCAGCGCAGCTCTGGCAGCGCAAGGGAGCCAGCAGTGGCCCAGCACCGCCAGACTCCATCACACCTGGCACCTCCCGGCCTTGGCTGTGGCGCAGTGGGGACGCAGCCATGCTCAGACAGCTCCTGAGGGGCTGCAGAGGGCACCTCTGGCTGGAAGATGCACGTGCCCAAGGGCCTGCGTCACGCTTAAAGGCCGTACCCAGCACGCACCTCGATGTCTGACTGCTCAGGACACCTCCCCGCTTCCTGCGGGCAGCCCCTTGCAGCACCCCACTCAAACCCATCCCAGCCAGGCAGGGACAGAGGACAGGGCTGGGCTCGCAGCTCTTGGGGACAGGCACAACCTGATTCCATTTCCAGCTTTGGGAAGGGCACCTGGCAAAGGACTTCCTCCCACCACAAACATCCCCCCACCGCGGGCCATGCCTTCCTGCTACTGCACCGGCCATGAGGCCGGCAAGGCCCCGCCATGCCAACAGCCCCAGCCCCAGGCGCATCCCAGCACGCACCGGAGCCCACCGCGGGCCGGCACGGGGGAAGGGCAGCACAGAGAGTGCAGGAGTAGAGCAGGACCTCTTCCAAAACAAGGCTGGTCAGGAGGAGAAAGGTGTCTTCACAGCAAGCTTCCTCCCTGCTTCCTCCTCCTCACCTCCTACAGGCAGCAAGCGGATGGTTGTACGTCCATCACGAGGTGCAAGACGGTTGCAAATGAGTTTGTGAGAGAGTCCGTGGGAAGGCCCTGCCCTTGCAATGCCACTTTTCTCTGAGGGCACTTTCACAGCCCCTCGCCAGAAAGCGCAGCCCTGACCCTGTGCCATCAGACTGACCCCTCCAGGCCCCAGTGCTGCAGCACCCAGTCAGGGTCAGGGTCAATCTTGACCCCACCAGTGCCGCACACAGACCCCCGCCTGCAAGAAGCCAGTTTCATTGGCTCTGCAGGACTGGAGGCTGAAGCACCCTGAATTATCAGCACCTCCAGCATGAACACTCACATCCCAGCTACAGGGCTGCTCCAGGGCCAACATGCTCTGCCCACCGTGCCCCACACTGCTCGGTGGAAAGTTCTCACACAGCTGCTCCTTATCGCCTGTGGGCACCGCGGGAGGGGGTGGCAGCACAGACGAGATGCCCTCGCATCTGCAGCCAATACCGTGCCACCGCGCTTCTGGGCCCATCGCTACCAGCTGATCCCACCAGGAAAAGGTGACGGCATGGACCTGAGGGAAGCCCCCCATACACTGACACGAACACCTAACACGACGGTATTACACATGCTGGTGAACAGCTTCAGGTGTTTAAAGCAGAAAGGTGGAGTAGTAATGATTAGAGCATCAAGTCCATTTCCCCTTTCCCTGCAGAAAGCACCACGACATGAGCGAGTTGTTCATCTTGAACACAGCCTGCATCCTCCTTAGACACAGGGGGAAAGCCCAGGACTGGCAGTTGGCAAAGGCCTGGGTGCAGCAACCAGGTAGAGGAGAGTCACAGAAAGGCACTAAGTGCCCCACAGTCCTATTTCTGCTCTGTGGTGGGGACAGGAAAAAGGAGAAGTGTGCACAGTGTGAGGAAGAATTCTTAAGAGATTAAGGAGGAAAGAGAGAGGTCGGTGCTAGCTAACATACCTCACAGCAGGGTTTCCATTATACAGAATATAAATGCCAGCTTCTTTATTCCCATAGATCTGATTGCTACGGATGATGCCTTTTCCGTTGCCAGCAACGACAATGCCTGAGCGAAGGCCACTGTGTATCTTATTGCACTATGGTTTTATTTTGGCACATGTAGAGAGAATAAAAGCAAAAGGAAGGAAAAGTCACTCAAAAATGAGCAAGATGAGGCAGCACCACAGAGAAAAGCCACAGCTCCCAACCCTGCTAGGGAAAAGGGCAGGAGGGTGATTAATCCATCTGCTGAGAAATCTCTCTCAAATGGTCAAGGCATACCTAACTTTTACCTTTTTTCAGGATTCTAGCACACAATGCCAAATTTCCCTTCCCATCATGCCTGGAGCCTCTTCTTCCTCCAGCAGCTCCTGCTGCCACCTCCCAAGGCTGCCCAGGACCTGGTGATGCTTCATTCCCCATAACCCTCCCAGCAGGACAGCAGCCCCAGCAGAGTGGTGAGGCATGAACTGCCAGAGCAGGCGAAGCAGCAAACAGCAGCTCAAAGCTGCAGCCAAGGCCAGACATGGCCTGCAGCTCCATGACTGAGCTGTCACCTCCTCCTCCTCCTCCTCTGTGGGGCTGCAGCTCTGCCTGCTGCACCGTCTGTGTGGAGCTCGAGAGCTTGATGAAGCCACAGGGTCACTCGGCGGCAGTTTGCCTCTCAGCCTCCCCTTGAACAGCGTGGCCCTGGTCCTTCAAGGATGACCACAGATACAGTGCTCGGTAAACACGGACAAGGTCACCCACTGCAAAGCTGGAGACACTCCCAATTTGGAGGAAAAGCCACGCTGGTGGAGAGCAGGCTGCTGCTCCCTCCTGCCCAAGGCTGAGCAGAAAGCTGAGACCCTCCACCAGCTCCCAGGGGAGAAACCACAATTCCCATCAGGAAAAACAATTTAAAGTACCATGACAATTTACTACCTTGCTTGCATGAGTTGTCTCCTTACACAGGGTGTTTATTTTACATCCTCCTCCCCTCAGTGCACAGAGGTTTTAAGACACATACCATCAAATGGAGGAGGAAACCATGCTTGTACCATCAGGCAGCACTTGGCTGCACCTTGCCCTTGGGGTTAGCTATAATTCATCAACAAAAACCTAAAGAACAGGCTGAAGGACAAAGCTAACAGAAAGGTCAGTGTTTTCTATACTGGGAGATGGGTCCATGCTGCCCCTTAGAGAGAAACAGCGTGCGGGAGAAAGCACATGCTACCCTGCACCATGGCCTGGAGGGGTACGTACCAGAACAAGGGGGTTAGCTCCCTTACGAATGTCCACTCCAGCCTCACAGTTGGAGTGGATGTTGTTGTCTGCAATCAGGCCTCCGGCTGACAGGCGCAGGAAGATCCCTGATGCCTTGCAGTGGTGGATCTCGTTCCTCAGCATGACAACCTACAGAAAAGGGGAGAAGTGTCTGCAGTTGTAGTCAGGAGGACGAGGCAGAGAGCACAAGCAAAGGTAGAGCTCTCCCTCCAGTAGCCTCTGTGTATCTACAACCCCCCTGCCCTTGCGGCAGCCCCGGTGTGCTGAAGCAGGATCAGTCCCAGTAGACAAGGGCTATGGTTAAGCCTGTTGGGCACAACCCTCCAGCATGGGTCTGCCTGGGGACCGGGCCCACTGTGCTTGGTGCTGCTCAGCCACAGCAGATACCTCTCGGCCTGACACATCCCTCTGCCTGACAAAGCTCACAGCCACCACACTGTGCTTGCAAAGCACCAGCAAGCCCTATCCCCATCCCACCTCCACACACTCACCCATGGCAGACACACCCCAGCCCCGCGCAGGCAGCCCCCTCACAGGGAGCCCCCCTTCGAGTGCAGCCAGCAGTAGGCTGCCTCCCAGCCCTGTTCATGGAGCTGCTTGGGGGCCCAATGCCACGGGGCCTCCCCAGGGGTCTCCCTAGAAGCTGGCTGGGCCAGCACTACAGCTCACAGCTCAGTGGGCACCTTGTGCATCACCTTGTGCCTTCAGAACAAAGATCCTGGCACCTGCGGCCAGAAATGGCCCAGCCAGCAGACTGAAGTCACTGACACCACTCATAGTAACCCAGTTTCCTCTAGGCATCTAAGGAGTTAAGCATTCATGCAGCATCAATTTTTAATATTTTCCAGCCAAACAAAATCATGTCTTCAATCCGTGTCCTACAAGTGCTAAGAAACTGCCTTTGCATATCCCACTTTGATGAGCAGCACAGATCAGAAGGCAGTTAAATTACACCTCCTTTTATTTGCTCATTCCAGAAGGGTGCTTGGTTCAGCCTCTCCACCAAACGCGCAGCTCAGCAGGGTTCAACGGGGCCGTCTCCATCTGCCACGCCTGGCTGCATGGGGAGGGAGCTGCCAGAGGCAAAATCCCGGGGACCTGCTCCGCGGGGTCCCACCCACCCGGCTCCAGCCCAGGTGTGCACAAGAGGGTCCTGCCTGTGCGAGGACACCAAGCCCTTGGCAACTGTGCTGTGCTTGGCATCAAGCCCTTGTCCCCACATCACAGGAGCCTCTGGACTAATTCCCAGCTGATCAAATTCTCACCAAGAGCAGCAGCTGGGCTGGCCTCATCTCCCTTCCGTTTGCTACCAGTTAAAACCAGTCTTCTAACCAAGCTGGAACCAAACCCAAGGGAATAAAACCAGAGGGCGGTCCCAAGTGCCGGACCTGCGTTTGTCACAAGCATAACTCACAGGAAAACAGCCCCTGAGCAGCTCAGAGGAGCCGTGCAAGGGCCTCTGCTCCCTCCTGCTGCCAGTCTGAGTCCCCATGTTGGGATGGCACCCCAGTACGGGCGTCTCTTGGCAAGAAGGAGCCGTCCCCCTGCCATGCAGTGAAGCATTTCTGCACAGGCAGCAGCAATCCGTGTCCTGTGGGGACGTAGGTGGGGACCCACCACCACCACAGCAATGCCCTGAGAAAAGACAGGGTGGAAAAGCATTCCCCTTCCTCCTCCTGCACAAAACTTCCATTTCAGTCTTTTACAGCCATACACTGAAAAACGGGCCCAAATCCCCAACCACACCTGGGGATGATCTTGGTCTGGGCAGGTGCCTGAAGGAGCCTCCCGAGCCCCCCTGGCTGTCAGGGCCGGGGATTTGGGCAGCGTCTTCCCCACCCCGTCCTGTCTGGAGAGGAGCACGGGCACTAAGGGGAGAGCTCTGGGCAAGCACAGGGTTTGGCAATGCTGCAATGAAGGGAAGCCTCAGTTCAACCTCCAGCACCTGTCCCCAGCCAAGGTCCCTCCTTACACCCCGTCTCTGCCCACAGCAGGCGCCCACCCCTGCATACGCTCCTGCTGCAGCTGGGACAGGCCATGACTGGGGGTTGGCACCGCTGTCCCCAGGTCTCTGCATGTGTGGTGCTGCCTGTGCTGGGAGCAGCAAAGGGGACAATAACCAGCTGCTCTTTTACAGGCTGAGAGTTTAATTCATGCGTAGAGCAGGCCTGACTACACCACCCCAACGTGCCATTGAATTAATGCCTCCAACTGCGATTCCGTTACTGCATGCAGAAAGCAGGGGGCTGCAAGTGACCCGCCTTGTGTTAGGACTGGTTAACCCAAGCCATGCAGAGGAGAGGAGCTGCTGGAGCAGGAGGGAGCGCAAAGAGGGCTCGCAGCAATCTTCACAGCACCTTACTGTTCTGTATGCAGCGCACTGCGTAGGTCAGGTTCCTGAAGACGTTTCCTTCCAGTTTTGCTTGCCCTCGTGAATAAATGAACACTCCTCCCTTCCCATCCCTGAAAAGGCACTGTCGGATGATGCAGCCTTGCAGAGAGTTGGACAAAGATTGGGCTTCCTTGTCCTGCTGCAGCTCCTGCTGCAGAGACTTGAGCTTAAGGTCCCTCTGGAGGTCATGCAGTCTGTTGCTTTGCAGCCTGCTGTCCGCCAGGTCAGCAAGCGTCTGACTCAGGCTGTGGGTTTGGCAGGGCACCCTGAACACAGCCTGGGCATCCTCTTCATCATCACTGCATAAGTCACTGTCACTAGAGTTCGAGTCGAGGGCCAGGTACTCCTCCTCCTCCTCCTTTGCTGCCCACAGGTTCTCTTCAAATTCAGCGTCCTCCTGGACTGAGCCAGGCAGGACTTGAGCACCCGCATCAGAGAGAAAGCTGCTTCGTCCTTCCCCAACGATGATCTCGCACGTTCGCACCGGCCCCAGCAGCGACTCCCCCAAGTCATCCTGCTCAGCCCCAGGGCAGTGGGCTGTGCTGGGCTCCGTGGGCGCTGCGCAGGACTTGGCCAGCATGGCCATGTGCTTGCAGGCCCAGTTGTGGTTTGAGCTCGGGCAGCCCTCGATGGTTACGTTGGCATTTGCGCTGCTGGTGAACTCACAGTTCTCCAGGATGCAGAGGGCCACATTGCGAAGGTGGATGCTGGACTGGTTGAAGGTGCAGAATTTCACCTGGCACGTCCCCGGCGCATGGATCTGCAGTTGCCCACTCTTGAAGGCGCAGTTGTCGAACTGGACGTAGCCTGCGGTTGTCTGGAGAGTAAGCACTGGGTGAGAGCATTGCACAGAGCAGGAGAAAGAAGCCCTGGACATACCATGAAGTGCTTCCACAGCAAACAGGCTCACGCTCACAAACACACCGCGCGTTCAGGTGTCACAAAAGCAACACGCTCGCAGGGCCCAGCGGCAGTGCTGCCAGCTGAGCCAGCCCATGTCCTCCAGCGAGTGACACCCGACGACTCCTTCCTTGCTGGCAACATGTCCTTAACTTCCCTGCCAAGACACAGCCTGGGAGCCTTAGCAAGGCCCCGCAGGCACCTGCAGGAGCAGGCAGGGCCTAGATGTGCCAAGATCACTAAACCTTAGCCACACTCGCCACACAGAAGAGTCTGCAGCCTTCGGGGAGGTGTGTCTGCCACCTGGCATCATTCATGGACTTGAGTGTTTACTGGGTGAAGCACCAGGCAAGAGGACATCAAACATTGCCTGACTGGCCTGAAGAGCTACAACTCCCTCCCTGGAGCCATTGCTGTACTTGGCGGAAGGACCCTGCACCTAGATATGTCAACTGCAAATCAAAAGAGGTAAAAAACTGTGCCATATTGCTGCACAGGCCTTATGTGGTGACACTCAGCAGGAGAGACACCACCAATTCCTTATTCCCTGGCTGTGGCTCCCCATCTGACTCGAGGGTACTTGCAGAACAGTGAGCAAGCCATTCCTACCGTGTGGCCTTGCTGCTTTGCTAGGGAATATACACAGCAATTTATGGGTGCTGGCAAACCCCCAGGACGATTGTGGCCAAACATCCCTCTCCTGCACAGGCAGAGCAAGTTCCTGCTTATCTACAGAAAAGGACAACAGAAATGAGACGAGGTACAGAGGAGCCAGGTCAGAAATGCTGACTAGCGTGCTTGGAATTCACTGTGCTCCTAATCTGACCAGGAATCTCCTAAACTGTTATTTTTATCTTCCCAGGTTACCCCTTGATTGCCCAGCGCACCACATTAAAAGTGGACAGATCAATAGCTTGTGACAGGTGAATTGGGGCAATTTTACCAAGATTTCTAGGCTTTGTGGCCAACACACCATCCTAACACTTTTTTTCAGCCTTGAGCACTCTCAAAAGTGGTCGTACTGCAAGGAAGTTTAGAAATGCATTTCTCCATACTCAAAGATAGTCACAGAGAAATCCACGCAGCCTGCTCCATACTGAATCATACCTTCCCTTTTTTAAATAAAAAAAAGCTAATTAAGAGGGACACAATGAAATCAGCTTCTGAGAGGCTGCTTGTGAAAGTCCTTCTAAAACTGCAACTCACAGGCTCTTAATGACTGCCCATAGGATTGGCATAACTGGCTTTTTTAACATGTTTTTGTTACAGAATTTGGAGGAAATCTCTCATCCCACCAACAGCAGCCGAAGGGCTGCACCCGGACACCAGAGCAACGGCTGGAGAAGCCAAATGCAGCCAAGGATGCAGCTGAGCCAGAGACCCCCGAGAGCCACAGACACTCGAGCACTCGAGGACTTTCTCAGCAGATTTGTGACTCGGTTCTTCCACTGCGCACCGGTGCTTTGTCTTTCTCCTGCGGACAGATAAAGTTAAATCTGCCACACAATAAAATGGTGAGAAGGAAATGAAAACATAAATTTTAACAAAGGGCAGGCTGACTCATCACAATGAAGGTCTCATTTTATGGAGGCATGGCCCTGGGATGCAGCGCCCGCCCAGGGCACATCCCACCCTGGGCTGTTGGCAGTGATGGGCCCGTGACCAAAAGTCCTGGCTTCAGCCCAGGGAAGACCCCAGGCACCCCAGCCAGGGTGTCCCAGCCTGGGCTGAGGGCAGAGCCCATGACAGCAGCAGATGTTTTTTGGGGTGGTGGGGCTGGTGTGGAGCACAGCACAGGGAGTGCCGGCCCCGGAGGTGCCTCCTGCAGGCCCAGACTCTCGGGTTGCTCACACCTGACCACACAAGCCATTGGAAAGGTGGCTGATGAGAAGGGGACAATCACTGAATAGAGGAAAATGCCTGCTAGGTGGGGAACTGAGAGCCAGAAGCATCCTTGAGAAGCACAGCTGCACCTCTGAGGTGTAGCTGGGTACTGAGAAACCAGAGACATCCTGAGATACCACCGGCAAGTGCAAAAACCAGGGGACTGCAATGGCAACTTATCATCTGGAAAAGTGGAAACAGTCTAGAAAAATGAAATTGCTCTGAAGTAATAAAAACATCATCATCTATTGGCTGTTCCAGGTGAAAATGGAAATTAACAGCATCTACTGGTTGCTCAAGGGGGTGTTGTGCTACACCCTCTTAAAACAGACTTAACTTTTATCCAAAATGAGCCTCTCTCCCTGAGACCATCCCATCCTGCATGTACTTCCCCTTCCTAAACCGGCTGAACTCCTGCTACAAGACTTGGACCCCAGCTGGGCATGCACAGCTAGTGCCAGACTCTGACACTGAGCTTCTCCCACAAGACGCCATTGCGCCGCTGGTCCCCTTTGGCCCCACTTCTGGAGTTGGTTGGGTTTGTCCTCTCCCCCGGGGCAGCCAGAGCCCCTATGGGATAGGGTAAGGGACACACCCCTCTGACCGAGTGAAGGATGCTCTGGCTCAGGCACCACCACAAGCAGCCTTGGCTGATATCAGCCCCAAGGCACAGAGTGTTGGAGCGGTGCCAGGACCGAAGTCCTCAGGGTCTCCAGTGCCTGGGCCACGTCTTATCGGGGGTAATGGCGCCAGCCTGATCCAGGACTAGACAAAAGTAAAACTGCTGCAGCTGCTCTAACAGACACACCGAAGGGCAGGCAGGCCCTGAGGCCATCGCTTCACGCCAGTCACTCCTCCCAGGCCTGTAGCCCTGCTGGGGGTTGTTGTGGCCCAAGGGCAGTCCCCGGCATTTGGCCTTAGTGAAGCTCATGCAGTTGGCCTCAGCCCCTCGCTCCAGCCTGTCCAGGTCTCTCCGCAGAACCTCCCTACCCTCAAGCAGACCAACACTCCCACCCAGCTGGGTGTCATCTGCAAACTGACTGAGTGTGCCCTCGATCCCCTCGTCTGGATCATCAATAAAGATGTTAAACAGGAGTGGCCCCAACACCCAGCCCTGGGGGACACCACTCGTGACCCGTCACCAACTGGATTTAACTCTGTTTACCACAACTCTCTAGGCCCAGTCGTCCAGCCAGTTTTTTACCCAGCAAAGTGTGCGATTGTCCAAACCTCGAGCAGCCATTTTTACCAGGAGAATACTGTGGGGAAACGGTGTCAAAAGCCTTGCTAAAGTCAGGGTAAATTACATCCACAGCCTTTCCCTCATCCAATAAGCAGGTCACTCTGTCATAGAAGGAGATCAGGTCATCAATTCATCAGCTCATCAATTATCATCTGATCATTGTTTAACCATTAATAAAGCCCATTTAGTTTACCCTGCAATGACATCTCTTAATAATTTGCCTGCACAGATAGTTTGGCCCCTTCTGAAATCTAATTCTCTTGATACCTACGTTATATATATCCCTAAGTAACCTACCCTAAGCATATCTGCTGTTTTACTGGAGAGGTGCTGAGAGAGTTTGGAGGTTCAGCTGGAGAAGAGAAGGCTCCGGGGAGACCTTAGAGCAGCCTCCCACGGCTGAAAGGGGCTGCGGGAGAGGGGGGAGGGATAGGATGAGGGGGAACAGGTTTAAACTGAAAGAGGGGAGACTTAGGTTAGATCCAAGGAAAAAATTCTTCCCTGTGAGGGTGGTGAGACACTGGCACAGGTTGTCCAGAGAAGCTGTGGCTGCTCCCTCCCTGGAAGGGTTCAAGGCCAGGTTGGACGGGCCTTTGGGCAACCTGGGCTAGTGGAAGGTGGCCCTGCCCAGGGCAGGGGGTTGGAGCTAGATGGTCTTTAAGATCCTTTCCAATGCAAAGCGTCCTGTGATTCTATGACAGCCCCTGATCCCTCAGACGTCAGGGAGTCCCACGGACCCCCAGTTGTGCTCCCCAGATGCCTACAGACGGGGAAACCCCCTCAGTCACAGCGCCTGGGCAGCCCTGCCACCCCCTGGCCCTGCTTGGCCGAGCCTCACCTTGTAGAGCACCGAGGTGAACCGGGACGGCAAGAAGAGGATGTTGCAGAGGCGGGCGGTGGGGCAGTGCTGGTCGATGCTCATCAGCAGTGCCACGTCCCCCAGCATGCCCTGCCCCACAACCTCCACGGGCACATTCAGCAGCACCTCGTTCTGCTCCTCGTACATGCCAGGCAGCAGCACCAGGCGGTCGTAGGGGCTGGCAGCAGCCAGGGCAGCACGGAGGCTGCTGAACTCACCCCCCGTGCCCACGCTGAGCTGGCGCCGGCCCTTCCTCCTCCGGAAGAGGGAGAGGCAGTTGGAGGACTCCAAGTCCTGCATGTTCTTGGTCCAGGTTTTGGAGGCCAGGTAGTGCTGCTTGAAGGTCTCCCTCCAGGACCACGGCTCCACATCAGGGTGGTTGGGCCAGTTGGGGTGCCTGTGCTTGAGGTAGCCCAGGCAGAGCTGCTGCCAGTGCGTTTTGTCGAGGCTGAGGACGATCTCATGCCAGGCCCTGCAGACTGCACTGCAGCGGCCCAGGTCAGGGAGCTTCAGGTAGGACAAGATGAGCTGCCACAGCTCCACTGGCAAGGCATCAGCCTCCATCGGCACCTGTAAAGGAAGGGACATGGGGTCAGCAGTGAGCCCAGAGGGCTTCGGGGCACAGAGGGGAAGGCAAGACTCAGCCAGGGCAGGGACCAATGTCGAGGGAGACACGGAAGTCCCCACCAGCTGTACCCCTCCGGGGACAGAGCCAGGCCCAGTGCAGGACCTGGCCAAGGCGGGGCTCAGCATTCGCCCTACAACGTGCTCCCTCCACCATCACCCCGGGCCTCCCTCCCTCCCCTGCTAGCCCACTCACGGGCCAGCAATGCCCAAACAAGCTGCTCTGAGCTCTCTGCTCTTTCAGGGCAATTAAAACTTTGTTGCTCAACCCTAAGGCTCAAAGACTGCGCGTGAACAAGCCGCGGCACCGCTGGGTCCCCCACCACACCCGCTCCTGGGCACGCAGCCGGGCCTCTGCCACCTCCACCAGCCACCCCGGCAGGCACGGCGCTTTCCTCCAGCACCGCGCTGAGACCCCCGGCAAGGCAGCGACAGCGGGGGAAAGCCAACGGCCACGATCCCCGGCCCCAGCAGACCCCCTCCACACACAGGAGGATCAGATGTCCGTGCACAGCGATGGGAACGTGCCGCAGGGCTGCGGCGCAGCTCTGGACTGAGAGCGGCTGGCCGG